CTGGAGAAGGATGTCATGCTGGGTAAGATGGAGGGTCAGAGAAAAAGAAGAAGACCCCCAACGAGATGGATCGGCCAGGTGACATCATTGATGGCGTCAAATGTGGTGGCAGTAGTGAGGTTGGCCCAGGATCGGACATTATTTTGTTCTACTGTGTGTGCATGGGGTCGCTATGAGTCGGTTCCGACTCGATGGCACCTGACAACAACAACCCTGTGACTGAAGTCTGTTGGGCACCTGTTTTTTTATGGGTCGCACTGCTAACTAAGAATGGTCTTTATGCTTTTTTGTTATTGTTATTAAATGCCATTGAGTCGGTTCCATTTATATCAACGCTGTATAGGGTGTCCAAGGATCAGTGAGTGAGCTTGAACTGTCTTGTGGTTCAAACCAAGCTTGCGGTCCAGTGCTTATCCTACAGTGCCACACTAGGACTCCTTTACATTTTTAAAGAGTTGGTTGGAAAAATTCTAAAGATTTCATGACACGTGAGAGTGTATGAAAGTTATATTTCGGTTCCTGTAAATAATGCCTTATTGGAACACAGCTGTGCTCATTCTTTTAAGTATTGTGTATGGATTTCTGGTGTGGTGCTGCAGGATAAATGCAGGACTGCAAGGTTGGTTTCAACCAGAAGTCAGTGGTTCAAACTCACCATTCGCTCCTTGGAAACCCTAAACTGGGTCGCTATGAGTCAGAACCGACTCGGTGCCACTTCCCAACGACAATGGTCGCTTTGGAGTCCTCGTGTGGCATTGTAGGATAAAGCACAGGACAGCAAGGTTAGTTTGAACTGCAAAGTCAGTACCCATCAGCAGCTCCTCAGAAACTCTACACAGACAGGGTCACTATGAATTGGAACCGACTGGAAGATACTTAACAGCAAGCAGTAACATGGTCACTTGATGAAGATCAAAGGCCACAGTTTTCAGTATGGGTTGCATCTCAATGTAAAGAAAATAAAAGTCCTCCCCAGTGGACCAATAAATAACATCATGATAAGTGGAGAAAAGATTGAAGTTGTCAAAGACATCATTTTGCTTGGATCAACCATCAACACTCATGGAAGCAGCAGACAAGAAATCAAACAACATACTGCATTAGGCCAATCTGCTGTACAAGACCTCTTTAAAGTGCTCAAGAGCAAAGATGTCAGTTTGAGGACTAAAGTGTGTATTACCCAAGTCATAGCAGCAGCCTCATATACATGTGAAAGTTGGACAATGAGTAATGAAGAACAAAGAATTGATGCACTTGAGTTATGGTGTTAGGGGAGAATATTAAAGGTACCAGACTGCCAAAAGAACAAACAGATCTGTATTGGAAGAAGTACAACCCTAATGTTCCTTAGAAGCCAAGATGGCCAAACTGTGTCTCTCATACTTCAGACATGTTGTCAGGAGGGACCAGTCCCTGGAGAAGGATATCATGCTTGGTAAAGTGGAGGGTGAGGGAAAAAGAGGGAGAGAGCTCCAGCGAGATGGATTGGCACAGTGGCAGCAGCAGTGGGCTCACGTGTACAGCAGTTGTGAGGTGAGGTTGGCACAGGACTGGGTATTTCATTCTGTTGTACACAGGGTCCCTATGGATTGGAACTGACTTGATGGCATCTAACAACAAAGGTAGCTTTTGATAGTTTAAATAGTTGAGACTGACATTGAATGTAAAAACCTAAATTTAGCACTTTACAAAGAAAAGTTTCCTGATTCCTGCCCTAAAACAACCATTGTCCCCGTCCTGTTTGGGGAGTCTTCAGTACCCTCAGAGGTTTCAAGGGCGCTAGTCTAAACGGAAGACGCCAGGCAAGTCCTTCGCATCCCTGGGCCTCAATTTCCCCAGCTATAAAATGGGCTGAGACGCAAAGGTCTCTGGAGTCTGCCTAGCCGGGGCGGGTGGGTGGTTGGGGTGGGGGGAGAGCACTGGGGGGAAGTGTCTTAAAGCGTTAAAGGGTGCTGGGTCTTCCGGTAGGGGCTGACTTGGAACAGGCACGCGGCAGCTTCCTCGGGGTTTCCAAGTCAGTGGCGGGCCCAGCGCCCCGGAGGCTCAGCTTTCGCGGGGAATTCCGGGAGGGGCGGGGGGAGGGCCGGGGCGGGGCCGCACCGCTTATAAATCTAGCCGCTCGGGCGCCAGGGGCCACTCGCCAGCGCCGCGCCCTCCGCTCCGCGCACCATGACCCCCACTCGCCTGTTAGTGCTGCTGCTGTTCCTCGTGGGCGCCCCTGCCGCCGCCGCCGAGTCGGTAGGTGTTGGGAAATCTGGGGGGATCTATCAGCGCGGCCGTGCCTCCTTTGTTCCGGAAGCCCATGATGGGGGACACTCGGGGAACTGCGCTCCCCGCCACCCACTAGCCGCCGAGGCCAGGGAAACTTTGTTGGAAACTTTGATCTAGGACCACAAGGAGTACCCAGGGCTTCTGGTCTGGCTCCTCCGCGCGCCTCCCCTGGCCATAGCCCCACAGCGGGCTCCAGGCTGGGACGTGGCCGAGCCGGTGTCAACTCTATTCCCTCACACACGCCCCTTGACTTGTTACGGACCAAGGGATAGGCTCGGAGCTCCAAACCCCTTCTTCGCTCTGTGTGGGCGCGTAGAGTGGACAGCCGCGTCGTGGAGGGAAGGAGAGGGCTCTGTTGGGCCCAGCTTCAACACTCGGGGGAGTGGAGGATGAAGCCGGGCGTCCTGACCCTGACTTGTGACTTAGGAAAAGCCTCTGTCTCGTCTGGGTGTCAGTTTCCCCATCTGCATAAAAGGCAGGAGGTGAAGAGTATTTCTCTAGGGTCTCTTTAGGGTCCCTGCTCAGTTGGGACCCCGGAACCTTCTAGTGCTGATAGAAGGGTTGTGGTTTAGGCTTCCCCAGGTGTTGAACCTCTGCAGCTTGCAAGAAGAGTGTTTTTTCTGATCTTGCAGCTGAAGACATTGAAGCCCCCAGCCTTGAGTGAGGTGAGGGGCGCTGGGATGCCTCTTTAGTAGCTAAGAGAAGTCTTGCTTTCTCACAGCTCCCGGATCCCCTCCAAGTTTACAGCGCCCTGGTTTCCCAGAAGCTCTGTTCACATCAGCAGCTAGCTGGGGAGGAAGGCGATCTCATCTAGAAAGTTGGGAACACTGAAAATTGCTAAGAGAGGCCACCCGCCCCTCAAGAGCTTGGACCTGTCTTAGTGTGGAACTGGCTCCCACTCATAGCAACCCTGAATAGACTTTCCAAGGAGCAGCTAGTGAGTTTAAACCATCGACCTTGTGGTTAAAACCAACCTTGAGGTCCAGTGCTTTATCCTTACAGAGCCAGAACTTCTTAGAAGGAATCCTAGGAGTTTAATCATTAATGTTAATTTCTTTGAAAGCCTGGGGCTCCTACTTCCCTGAACTCACTTAGGGGATAGCCATTTCTGCCTGGCAGGCTTCTGTTGGGGAAATGAATGAGACCATGAGGAATAAATAGTCCTCTCAGGGTTGTTCTCTGCAGGTTGCAATGATAGCAAACTTAGTGCGTCCGCTGTGCCTGGTCCTGTTCTGAGAGCCTTACATATATCAGCTTGCTCAATTTCTACAACAACCCCACTGTTTACTATATTCCTTCTGGAAGAGAAGTTAAGTAATGTAACCAAGGTCACACAGCTAATAGAGGTGGTTGGTTTCAGTTTAAGCAGCCAGGCTTCTAAGTCTTTGCTTTAACTCCTCTGAGTGTGGCTGCCATAGAGTACACTCTCAAGTTGGCCTTAGAATCTGTTGAGATTTGGACCTGGAAGGCCTCAAGGAAATTTGCAGTGGAGGGACGCAGAGGCCTAGTGTCAGGTGATAACATCCCCCAGCCAAGGGCAGCTATGCCAAAAAGTTAGTGGCTGAGCATGGACTGCGTGGCATCCACTGACTGCCATGGAGTGCCCAGAGAGTCCTGGGCTTCATGGTGAAGTGCTTAGCTCATAACTGAAAGGCTAACAATTCAAACCAACCAACCAGGCTGTGGGAGAATGTGTCAGTGTGCGTCCATAAAGAGTCACAGCTCTGGAAACCCTATGGGACAGTTCTATTCTGGCTTATAGGGTCTCTATGAATTGAGACCACCTCAGTGGCAATGGCTTTGGTTTTGGTTTGGTGGAGTGCCCTCAACTAGACCCGAAGGATGCATTGGGTTCAAGTGGTTGGGAAGATGTCCATATATTGGATGCTGTTGCTTGGTCTTAGAGACATTTATTGTCTGTTGAGTTGTGTCACTCTGGGCAATGTGTAAGAAAAGAGAAAAGAACCTAGGAGGCTGCTTAGATCACCCCATGGGCAGTCACCTGCCAGCCGTGCTCTAAGGCTGCTGAGCCTGTAGGTGCTTTGAGGTGAGGAGCAGACAGCTGGGCCCTGGGGCTGTCCAAAGGATGTGGTTTGGAGGAGGCTATGTTGTTCCTGTGTATAGTGAGGATGGAACAGCTTCCTGAGAGAGGTATCCCTCTCTCATCCTGACCTCAGCTTTCCCAATCCTTTAATTGGGTCATTACCCTTCCCCCTCTTCCTTCCTAGGTTGTATCAGGAAAAATCAGACCTAGTCACAGCTGGCTTAGACCATAGAGCTGGACCCATTCTGGGATTTCATTTTGTAACTGGAGAAAATTGGAGGCCCAGGGAGAAAAGTTTTGTTAATGGTAGTCATGATTGATTGAGCAATTTACATATGCCAAGCCTGATACATTTTATCCTTGCAAAAAACCCTAGGGTGTGGGAATTGTACTTATGCCTATTTTACAGATGAGGAAACTGAAAGAGATAAAACTGATTAACACTTGGGCTAACAGAGAATTTACAGGTTACCAGAATTTCTGTCCAGCAGGCCCCCTCTTCAACATGCTGTTGGGGCCCTTGCTCTTTCCCTGGGTGGTGCCCCAGGTTTTGGGAAGAGAGCCCAGGCTGAGCACCTAGCTGCCCTCTTCTCTGTTTGGCGGGGGTTACCATCCTAAACCAGTTCTTCCTGTCCAGCTGGGAGCATTCCCCTGATCTGTTCCTGCCACTCCTTCCCTGACCAATTAAAGGCAACCTTGTTTTGGGAGCTGGACCCAGAGGTGTTGCTGCCCAGGGGCAAAGCCCACTGACTTGGCGCTTGGCCCAGGCAGTTCTGGGGAATTGTCCCCCACCCACAGGCTACTTGAGCTTAAGAGTGTTTCTGGTCTGCTTGAGAGTTTGCTCCTTGATTGCACAGAAGTTGGGGTGGGAGCGGAAGGAAGCTCTGGGGATTCTAGGACCCTTGAGCGGCCAGTGAGAGAGCTCTTGGAACCTCTTGGAAGCCAAGAGAGTTATCAAACTGCCAGGAAGTATTTGCGAATGGAGAGCCCTGTGCAGTTGGAAGGAGATCCCTTTCCCTGTAGGGTTGATGTCCCCCAATCTGTAAAACAAGGCAAGAGCCCTTTTCAGCTCTGCCATTCTGTTCTTGCTGTTGAGCGATGTCTAGTTGATTTTCGATTCATAGTGACCCCACGTGGCTGAGTGAAACTGTTCCATAGCCTGTTTTAGGCTATAATCTTAAGGGAGCAGATTGTCAGGGCTTTTTCTCTTGGAGTCATTGCACCCCCAAGGCTCCTTGATCTTCTGTTAAATCCACTGCTATCACGTCAAGTCTGACTCATAGGACTACTCCTCAGGGTTTCTGAGACTCAGTCTTTGTGGGAGCAGACTTCTTCATCTTGTTCCTGAGGACCTTGTGGTTTAGCAGGGAACACACAGGGCCACCAACATCACACCAACAACATCTTGTTATTAAGCAATATTTAGTTGGCTCCGGTTCATAGGGACCCCAGGCACAAAGAAGGAAACACTGTTCAGCCCTTCCCCATCCTCACAATTGCTGTTACGTTCCCAGTCTAGTGTTGTTGTTGTTGTTGTTAAGTGCCGTCGAGTCGGTTCCGACCCATAGCGACCCTATACAGGGTTTCCGAGGGTGTAAATCCGTACGGGAGTAGAAAGCCTCATCTTTCTCCCGCGGAGCGGCTGGTAGTTTCGAACCGCTGACCTTAAGGTTCGCAGCCCGATTCGTAACCACTACACTACCAGAGCTCCTTCTAGTAGTAGTTAATAATTAATGAAATACTTAATGATGTTCTGTGTAAGGGGCTATGAAAACCATAATGACTCCAAGGCATTCACTTCCTGGAAGAAAGTCATGGCTCCTAAAGGAAACCTAACGAAATTCTGAGTGTCCCTCCAGTCCCTCTCCAGAACTCGGCTGCAGTTGTTTGCAGTGAAATATCTGGCCCATAGTTTATATGAATGAACACATTCACATGCGATTTCATTCTGAAGGTGCATCAGAATTATATATTTCTAGTGTGACTGTCTCCTGGTGATATTGTTGTTGTTAAGTGCCATCAAGTCGGTTCTGATCCATAGCAACCCTGTGGAGGGTTTCCGAGGAGCGACTGGTGAGCTTGAACCACTGACCTTCTGGTTCAAACAACTTTCAAATGTAGTCTGGTGCATTAACCCACAGCACCACATCAGGACTCCGTCTCTTGGTGATAGATAGGTAAATATCTCCATTAAAAAAAACTGATGCTCAGAGGAATAAAGTGGCTTGTCCTAAGTCAGAACCAGGTCTGACTGATCATGCGAGGATTTCTCAAAAAAACATTCCAGATGGGAAATTCTGCTAGGTTTGAAGTTGATGCCTTGGTTTCTACCTCTGAGTTGCCGGGTGACCTTGAGCTTACCCTGTCTTTGGATCTCAGTGCCTCCAACTTTAAAAGGCGGGAGCTTGGACCAATGCCCTATAAGGGTCCCTCCAGCTCTGAGAGCCCATTGAAAGGGGCAGGGGTGCGTTCTCGCCCTTCTTGGTAATGCGTCCAAATAAGTCCCAGTCTTAGAAGAGAAAGGGAGGAGGCATTCAGCTTCCTGCCATCCCCAGCTCCTAGAAACCATGAGCTTTTTCCAAGGACGAGGAGTGCTGATCTGGGGTGGCCTGAATGAGGAGTTGGGAAAGCCAGGCTGGACTCCTAGCCCCAGCGCCCTCTTAAAGGAATTGGCTCCTAGCTGTCCTCCAGCCTCTAGGACTCTAGGACTGGACAACGGGTGGATGTGATTTCCAAAGAATGCTTAAAGCTGAGAGAAGGGACTGACGGGGCTTCGTGAGTCACCGGGGAAGAAGAGCATGTGTAGTCTGCCCTTCTGAGTCACCCATTCCTTCTCAAGCTCTTGGCCAATAGAGCATGGTCGGGGTGAGGGTATTGGAATGGATGCCTGTTAAAGAGAATGCCAACGACCAGGGCCTTGAGG